GGGATTGGGGGAGGGGGGGGGGGGGGTGGGTTGCACATTTTAATCTATGTGTAAGGGATATGTCGTCACATTTTTTTTTGGATTGAATATATGTGTAAAGGGGTAGGGTTGTATATGTTTTAACTACTTCTATTAAAGGTATGTCGTCACATTTTTAATTGAATATGTGTGTGTGTGTGTGTGTGAAGTGGTAGGGAAGCAATTGCCAGTATGCCCTTTTACTAACACACCTGTTTCGTGCCCGTTTACACAGACACACATACACACACACATTCACACACCTGTTTCGTGCCCGTTTACACAGACACACATACACACACAAACACACACACACACACCTGTCTCGTGCCCGTTTACAAATACGCCTCTGCCATTTACGAACCATCCCCTGTCTGCCTGTTTACACTCACGACACTGTCTCGTCCATTGACCCAAACATGCCGTCAACTGCATTCAACATGGAATATAAACAAACAGTATCAAGAGACACGCACAATGATCGTGCACCTAGTCTAGTTATATGACGCCCAGGGGTGGCTTATTGGTTGGTTGTTTAGTGTTTTATGGGCTGGTAGAGGCGATCGATACAGTTTTATCTTCACCACTGGCATGTCCGGTATATATATATATATATATATATATATATATATATATATATATATATATATATATATATATATATATATATATATATATATATATATATATATATATATATATATATATATATATATATATATAATGGCCCGCATATATGAGAAAGAGTGGTCGGATATAGAGCGTACGACTGCTAACCCGTAAGTATCGAGTTCGGACCCGGTGGCTTGAGTCCGTAAGACGACCCTGAGTTCACCCAGCTCTCATGGGTACCTGAATCACATTGGGGAATGTAAAGGCGGCTAGGCATAGAGCTGAGCCGTTCTAAATCGATGTAGCTCTACATGCTAATTCTCATGGCTACATCAGTTATTACTTATCCGCACCAGCAGAGTTGCAAAGCGTAACCAGGTAGTGCGGACAGTACCGGGCGACACAATCCAAGCGGGTGACACCAAAACGATAAAACAATAATTGAAATAAAAAATCTGCTTTTTAAAATTAATTAAACCTCTTTTTAAAACTATACATATCCAATGTAAGTATAGAGTGGCATTATTGTGTCCAAAATACAGTTTTCCTTCAGCTTGTTTAAAGTCATGGGGGGGGGGGGCTGACACCCAAAGTTACCGCACCCTACCTAGTGACGCCACTGAAGAACACATTTTTTCACGATGTTTATTTTTTTTGTAGAGGCATTGAGTCGACGTGTGGCTGTCCTATATCTTGTTTATTTGGTCCAGTGGAGCTGTTTTAAGGATGACAGGCCAGTTCCTTCGTCTCGTTCCGCTTGAGTTGGTATCTATGTCATGTCACGGCGGGTGTCAGAATATTTTTACATACGTCAGAGGTGGGTTGGTCATGGTAGATAGGAGGGTTTGGGTTGGTTGGTGATGGTTGGTGATGGTAGATGGGAGGGTGTGGATGGGTTGGTTAATGATAGAGGATGTGGGTTCGATGGTGGATGGGAGGGTGTGGGTTGGTCAGTGATGGTAGATGGGAGGGTGTGGATGGGTTGGTTAATGGTAGAGGATGTGGGTTCGATGGTGGATGGGAGGGTGTGGGTTGGTCAGTGATGGTAGATGGGAGGGTGTGGATGGGTTGGTTAATGGTAGAGGATGTGGGTTCGATGGTGGATGGGAGGGTTTGGGTTGGTCAGTGATGGTAGATGGGAGGGTGTGGATGGGTTGGTTAATGGTAGAGGATGTGGGTTCGATGGTGGATGGGAGGGTTTGGAGTGTCGGTTGGACAGTGATGGTGGATGGGGTGGTGTGGGTTGGTCAGCAGTTGGGTAGCTAGGGGAGGGCGGGTGGGGCGGCCGCACCGGGCGCCGACCCTAAGGGGGCTCCAAAAGGGGTACACAAATTAATTTAAAAGCTCATTTTAAGCTGAATTACTGAATTATACACCGTCAAAGTTGCGGAAATAAACGACCACAAAGCTTTACAAACTGATTGAACTGTTTTCTATATCATTTTTGTGGCACCGAAATGAAATGGTTACCGGATAGTAACTGGTAAGAAGTGCCACAAACCTTTCCAATTGGGGGGGGGGGGGGCGCTTTTCATAGACAGGAATAACTATACATAGAATTGTGAGGAAGAGGGCGCAAAATTGATAGTTCGTCCCGGTCAGTTACGGTAGATGGGAGGGTGTGGGTTGGTGAGTAATGGTGTATTGGAGGGTGTGGGTTGGTGAGTAATGGTGTATTGGAGGGTGTGGGTTGGTGAGTAATGGTGTATTGGAGGGTGTGGGTTGGTGAGTAATGGTGTATTGGAGGGTGTGGGTTGGTGAGTAATGGTGTATTGGAGGGTGTGGGTTGGTGAGTAATGGTGTATTGGAGGGTGTGGGTTGGTGAGTAATGGTGTATTGGAAGGTGTGGGTTGGTGAGTAATGGTGTATTGGAAGGTGTTTGTTGATATAGAATACCTACTGTGTTAGATGTGCTCTGCCATTTGATTTGACGTGACAGTCTAGCGTGACAGACCGACAACGTGACAGAGACAAGGTGTGACAGAACAACTCGACGTGACCTACAAAAGTGACGCCTCCCCCCCCCCCCCCCCCCCCCCGAGAGCTGTTGAAATATTTGCACCTTACATTTTTACTTGAAGAGCACCACGTTTCTCTATCTGTTGCCTCTGTCCCAGCCTCCCCCCTCCCCCACGCCCTGCGTTGTTTACAAACTGTCCCCCCAGTCATACACAAACAATGGCGCATATTTTTACCGCAGTGCCATCGGGACAGGATTTAGCATCTTGTCTGCGGTCAAGGTCACGTGGACCTGCTTCAACACATCTGGTGTGTGTGTGTGTGTGTGTGTGTGTGTGTGTGTGTGTGTGTGTGTGTTTTAACACGCTTTAAAAAATATTTTGGCCCGACGATAGACATTTTTTAAATAGAATTTTTAACTTTAAAAATTGCATTGGCTAGGCACGTAATGGCATGTATAAAGCAGATGTTTTTACAACGATGGAATGCATATTATGTTGTATGCACATAAAGCCGATGTCGTCGTGTCGTACATGCGATGTTGTTGTACCTATGTTTTGCACACACAAAGCGCATGTTAAGAGTGCTGCAGTAGAAGAAGAAATGGGAGGTGCTATGTTCTTGTACCCACTTTAAGCAGATGTTGTACGCATATATATGTGATGTTTTACACACATACAGTAGATGCTGTATACACATAAAGCAGATGTTGTACACGCTGTGTTCTTGTACACACTTGAAGCAGATGTTGTACAGATATACATGTGATGCTGTGCATACATACAGTAGATGTTGTATACACATAAAGCAGATGTTGTACATGCTCACTTCTTGTACACACATAAAGCAGATGTTGTACATAGATATATCTGATGTTGTACACACACATAGTTGTTGTATACACATAAAGCAGATGTTGTACAAGCTGTGTACTTGTACACACTTGAAGCAGGCTTTGTACACACTTAAAGCAGCGGTTGTACACACACATAAAACCAATGCTTGAGAATCATGCACTTCTCTTGCGTGTTGTCACCTTTGAACCTGCACGTGCACATGGCACAAGGAAGTGAAACAGTTCTGTCAAGATGAGCTGGAATATTTTGCTCTTTGTTTTAAAATTGAGTTTGCTTGTTGCACACGAGTTACTCCCCCTGGTAGATTATTTTTAGGAATATTAGATTGCGCAGTTGTGAATATGAAAGTTATGTTCGATTGAAAGGATGGATACTATTGGCTTAACAATACCACGTTAGTGAGTTATAGTTATAGTTAGGTTTAGGATTGTTGCTAGCTATATTTTTTCGTCAACAATTTGTTTTGTTTTTGTTTGACAGTGCGTGCATTTAAAAATGACGTTTTAAAATGGTTCTTTTCAAGTGCCGTTGTTATTTTTTTAAACTTTATTTAGCCGTGCCCATTAGAAACAAAAGGTCTAATAAAAGTTACATATGGCAAGTTCATTTATATAAAATCATAGTGGGGAGGGTGTGAAGGGTTCTGAAAAACCGAACCTACCAGTAAAGATCCCTTTTTTCTTTGCGCTCTACATTTGGCCAACTTTGTTAATGTTTCTTTCAGAATAAAATGTCTGGGGAAAAAATCCTGGTTCTTATTTTTTGGGAAGGGGGGGGGGTATATGGTTGATGTAACTATTATGCAGCTTGATATTTAAAAAAAAAGAAGTATCATTCGCTTTACTCCAACCTAGCCGTTTAAAAATTTCAAGTAACTAGGCAAAGAACGCCTACAGTTTGAGAGTAAGAGCAGTTGTGTTTGGTGATCTCATAGAACAATGTCCAAGTTCAATCGCCGAAATAAAGTCGCGTGCGCACACCGGAAGTGACAAAGGCGTCACGCATTTATTGAATCTACATATTTAAAAAAAAAATCGGTGCTGTATTTTCCTGTGGCTGGGTTAGAAGTTGAAATACACTGCGGTCAATAGCGTTGTCTTATGGTATTATAGGAATCTGTGAAAAAGATGTCTGTAATAGTGCTTCTAACCTTATGCCTTAAACTTATAGGCCTACACCGAAACTTGACTCAAAGTCAAAGGCAGCATCCGACAATCCTTCTGGAGTAAATAGCATTTATAAATTGATAATGCAAACATATCTAGACGTACTAAATGTTATATGTAGCCTATAAACATACACATATACATATACTAAAGCTAATGTGTAATGCCTTGTTTCTTATCTTTTTAAAGTAATACGTATTTCTTATACTTACAAAGAGTATATTATTTATTTAAAAGAGACGCTGGATTCCCCTAAGACCCTTAAACAAACAAAAATTACCTCGTTAGTCTTTTTTTTTTTTTGCCTGAATTAGCAGAAAAGACACATGCAAAAGATAGACTGTCATGATAAAGTTAAAAATCCGGATTTTTTTTTTTGTTTGATCAGAAGTCACCGGAAGACAACAAACCGGTGTCCAATGTTGACCTACTTTTCGGAGTGGACGATGACCTAGTTCCAGCGGTGTCCCAGGAGGAGGTAGCGTCCAAACACCCAGACATTTTGGATTTCTTTGACGCCATCCCGCCCACGGCAGCTGAGGTAAACATTGTGTCAGCTCGTTTGTTACTGTCGTCATTCATCGTTAAATGACATGGCATTACTGACATGGCAAACTGAGGTGTCACACCTGATAGCATTACTGACATGACATAATACATGAGGTGTCACACCTTATATCATTACTGACATGACATAATACATGAGGTGTCACACCTTATATCATTACTGACATAACATAATACATGAGGTGTCACACCTGATAGCATTACTGACATGACATAATACATGAGGTGTCACACCTTATATCATTACTGACATGACATAATACATGAGGTGTCACACCTTATATCATTACTGACATGACATAATACATGAGGTGTCACACCTTATATCATTACTGACATAACATAATACATGAGGTGTCACACCTTATATCATTACTGACATGACATAATACATGAGGTGTCACACCTTATATCATTACTGACATAACATAATACATGAGGTGTCACACCTTATATCATTACTGACATGACATAATACATGAGGTGTCACACCTTATATCATTACTGACATAACATAATACATGAGGTGTCACACCTTATATCATTACTGACATGACATAATACATGAGGTGTCACACCTTATATCATTACTGACATAACATAATACATGAGGTGTCACACCTTATATCATTACTGACATGACATACATGAGGTGTCACACCTTATATCATTTCTGACATGACATAGTATATTAGGTGTCACACTTTATATCATTACTGACATGACATAATACATGAGGTGTCACACCTTATATCATTACTGACATGACAAACCTTAGGTGTCACACCTTATATCATTACTGACATGACATACATGAGGTGTCACACCTTATATCATTACTGACATGACAAACCTCAGGTGTCACACTTTATGTCATTACTGACATGACATAATACATAAGGTGTCACACCTTATATCATTACTAACATGACATGTCAAACCTGAGGTGTCACACCTTATATCATAACTGAAATTACATAATACATGAGGTTTCACACAGTAAATCATTATTGATATGACATAACATACATGTTGTGTCATATCTTCTACCATTACTGACATTACATAATACATGAGGTGTCACACCTTATATTATTACTGACATTTACAACCTATCCCCTCTCAGGAGATCACCATGGAAACAGAGGACACAGCCCCAGACTCCCTGGACTCATTTGTCATTGTTAACAATGAGACCTCCCTGGGCGAGAATGAGACCTCCCCAGTAAAAAATGAGACCTCCCCAGATATTCTCATCACCTCTGCTAGTATGGATGTAGATGGGATGATAGAGGATGAACATAAAGAGGAAGAGAAGAAAGATGAGTGCACGAAGGAAGATACACAAACTCCCCATATAGAGGTGGAGGAGGAAGATAAGGTATCTATTTGTGTTTAAGATAGTTATTTTGTTTAAGATATTTTTTTTGCCTTTTTGATAAAAATAGTTTGCTACAACATATGAACAAAATATTTAAAACAAAGTCTTGGGATTTAAATGGAATCCAGATTAGTTGGAACAGAGAATTTTCAAAAATATTGATAAGGCTTATAACATTTGAAATTAACTAGATTTAGGTCCACTAAGATACAACAGTTTTGCTATAACTCATATTTAAAATTACCTATAAAGGCATCAACTTTGGTGGCTAATTTAATTTATAAATGAGCTTTTAAGAAGATTATATCATTAGTTTTCTTTTCATGTTTAAACTATAAACATTTTTGATTGTTAAAAAAATCCTAAATTATTATTTATTAGGAATTTTAGCCTAGGGCAAAGCGGTGTTTTATTAGATGTGTTATGAAGTTATCTTTTTTGTTATTTTTAATTCTTAACTGGCACAATTTAGTAAAAGTAAAACACCCTGCGAGCCATATGGTCCATGAGGCAAATGAAGTAGAGTTCACCTGTTTCTTTGGCCTCTGCATATCTAGAGACAGTGTGGCCAGCACTATGCAGACGCCTCTACTGTTTCAAATGTGAGTTAGGTACCATTCAGAAGTGGGTGGACTTTGGGACGTTGTGCAGACTCGAGCCCATGATCTGAACTTGAGGCTTTCAAGTTAATAATCGAATGCTCTACCATTCGACCACCCCACTCGCACAATTTAGTTGCTGTTATTTACACAACTGAGTTTTTCTTGTATTTGTGTACAGGTGGATGGGGCTATCCTCAACATACGTGATCAAGACTTTGATTTTTCTGTCATGCAGGTAAAAAACATGGATTGTCTTAAAACCACATTTACGACTAAATTGTTTTTAATTATTGTTTTTTTTTTTTTTTCTTTGAAGCATTCATCAGTATGTGGTTCAGTTATTACTTTATTTTTATGTTCAGTAAAAGATAAACACTATAGCAGTTGTAAATTTAAAAATCACTATTATGAGTTATTTCCTTTGCACATTTTAAAATATAATTTTCACTTCATTTTTCTCAAGAAAAGTTTTATTCACATTTTATTAACAAACATAAAAGTCATTATTATATTTTTTAACATCTTTAAATTTTTTTAACTATTGCAATAGTAAATTTAAAAATCACTATTATGAGTTATTTCCCTTGCACATTTTAAAATAAAATTTTCACTTCATTTTTCTCAAGAAAAGTTTTATTCACATTTTATTAACAAACATAAAAGTCATTAATATATTTTTAACATCTTTAATTTTTTTTTAACTATAGCAATAGTAAATTTAAAAATCACTATTATGAGTTACTTCCCTTGCACAATTTAAAATATAATTTTCACTTTATTTTTCTCAAGAAAAGTTTTATCCACATTTTATTAACAAAAAGTCATTATTGTATTTTTTAACATCTTTAATTTTTGTTAACTTGCAGCTTTCAGAAAGTCCCCACCTAAACTTTGACCACCTGAAACACAAGCGCACCTTGAGCCAGAAAGGTTCCATAGCACGCAGGAAGAAACCGACCAGAGGCATCTTACACAGTGACAACGAGGACAGTATTTTCAAGGATTCTACTGGTGACTTAATACTTACACATTTTTTGTTATTGGTTGCCCTTCAGTGACTTAGACTTAGTGTTGTATTTTCTCTCTTATACATTGTTTGTTATTTGTTGCCCTTCAGTGACTTAGTGTTGTATCAGTTTAAAGGGTTGGGGATGGAAAAATATATGGTTGTGGTTAGGGTTAGTGGGTGGTAGTTATAGTTGTGTGTTGTACTTGTTCTGTATAGAGCACTGGAAATGGTGATCTTGTGTGATTTTAAATAAATTATAAATGGATTTCATTGACATACTGTTGAAGGCGACTTATGTTCTCTACATAATGGCTAAAGCACACCAAAACACTTTAACATGTTGTTTCTAATGTGTTTATACCTCTCCTTTACATTCTCGTAATCCGCCTTCCACCCCCTCGTCCTAAGAGCTGTCAGTAATCTAACCACATACAGCCCCATCACAATCGTTTACACACCTATTTATACCAGCATTTTACGTTGGTATAACTATACATAAACACACATGTTTAACTCAGACCTGCACTATCCTGTGTGTTCTAGGCTATTCTAACCTGATTGCCAAATGACCCGTAACACATACAGAGCCTTCATTTTTAGTAAGGACAGACTCTAATTTTAACAAAAATAATGTTGGTTTTTCTGTATTCTTACCTATGTAAGTAACACGAATTGTAGTTTTAAGTGTGCGTAAAGGAAAATAGCTTTATTTTTTGTTAGCAAACACAAATTTTATAGTTTTCACAAAACATTGAAAATGGCTTTCGTCTCTTTTTGAAAAAAATACTCTTCTTACTCTTCTTACTTTTGTACTGTTTGATTAAAAGAAGCGGGGTCGGTGTGGTTGAGTCGGTAGGGCTCATGGTTGCTAAACTGAAAAGTCTCAAGTTTGAACCTCCAGGCAGATGAAGCTTGATAGCTGGGGACAGCAACTCTTCTAGGAGAGACAACTCCAAAATCAAACAACTGCTGCCTTGGTTGGGCAATGGCTATGGAAGCAAATCCAACAAGAAAAGCAGGCAGAAATTTGAGTCAACAACATATATTGGGCATAACAATTTGACACGTAATACTTAATTGTGTTCCACACATTAAAATTTAAGAACGAAGAAGAAGAAGAAAAAGAAGATTTAGAGAAGCAATGGTTTAAAGTTGTTATTTAACTTTTGTACAGAGCCAAAGCCAGTGAAACATGTTGAAGATGAGGCAGATAGCAGTTCAGCACAAGCTCAGTTGTTGAGCAAAGAGCCACAGAAGAAGGAGGAGGAGCCAGCCAAAAGATTTGGGGGTGTGAAAATCCCAGGGCTCCTGGAGGGGTTAAGTAAATCTAAGGTGAGGAGAGGTCTTTGTAAAGCTAAGATAGGTCCTTGTAAAGCTAGATGGTGATAGGTCTTTGGAAAGCTAAGGTGAGGAGAGGTCTTTGTAAAGCTAAGATGGTGATAGGTCTTAAAGCTAAGATGATTGGTCTTTGTAAAGCTAAGATTATGATAGGTCTTTGTAAAGCTAAGATGATAGGTCTTTGTAAATCTGAGATGACCATAGATATTTGTAAAGCTAAGATAATCGGTCTTTGTAAGGCTAAGATGATGATAAAAATCTATAAATTTATTTGTAAATTTAAAGATTGTTTTTTGTAAATATAAGATGAGATTAAGTAACTGCAAACTTAAATGGAACACAAAATGGGATTTTTATTAATATCCTGCAAGTATCTACAAACATTAAAAAAAACGCACTGAAAATTATGGAATACTCTTACTTTTGGAAGTTTTAAAATGCTTTTTTTTTTTAAATTACTTTATTCAGGTATTCTCTAAAAGTGAGAAATCTTCAGAACCAGAGAAGCCAGCCAGAGACAAATCACCAACGCCAGCGGTCAGAGCATCCAGCCCCAGCAACACACCTAGTCCAGTGGTCCGTCCTAAGCCACTTGTCATGCCCCGTGTTTTACCCAGCATTTCTCTGAGGGCAACCAGCAAGACGATCAAAGACACCCAGAACCAGAGCACAGCAGGTGAAAATGGCTCGACCAAACCAGCTGGGGAGTCTTCCACCTCGCAGGTGAAAGATTCCAAGGTCAACGGCGCGGCAGTCGAGTCTCCGAGAGATGTCAAGCTGACCCCGGCGCCTGAGAAGGTAGCACCGAAAGTTTCTCCGTCACTCAACTCTGTCAAAGTGCTTCCCTCCAAGCCTGACCTACACAGCTCTTCCTCACCAACTGTCCAGATTTCTCCCAAACCAGCAGCCAAAGTTCCCCCGCCTGTGCCTAATAAGCCGTCAGTTCCTTTAAGACCAAGTAGGTCTAATTTATTCGGTTCAGCATCTTTTTCCGCTTCTGACAAACCTAACCCTGTAGTAGCCAAAAGAACTGCCTTACCTCCCCTTGCACAGAAAAATGGAGACAAAAACTCCCTAAATCTAAAAGAACCAGCCCCCGAAACAGACATCCAAAACTCTTCCAAAGAAAAAGACTCAACTTTCCCTTCGGAAACCACTTCTAAAAATTCCTTATCTTCAAAGTCATCTGATTCGACACCTGTTCCTAAACGAGAGCCATTATCATTTTTAAAGTCGGATAGCGACTTAAAAAAGAACACAGCAATCACACGAGCTTCTTCCATGAGAACAACCGGATTAACCTCGGACTTCCTGGATAAAACAAGACTCAAGTCCGTGGAAAGTAAAGTTTCCGCTAAAGAAAACCAGGAGGATGTGTTCCAGGTGGAGACTAAAACAGTCGTCAACGCCAACTCTACAGCGCCTTGCGATAGGTCCAACAGTCAGGACGACACAAAAGAGAATGTTGTAGCGCCCAGGAAGTCCAGCATCACCGGGGTGAGTTCTGTCAAGTCTCCGTCTGCCGTGGATAAGAACCAGTCCAACAGACGTGGGAGTTTTACCGGCAGTGCGTATAATCCGATTGGGTTCCGCCCAGCTGTGGTCAACGCCGATGAGGTCAGTAGATCCAGGGGGAGTTCCACGTCCAGCATGGATGGGAGCCTTGCTCTGTCTTCACCTATCATTGGGGAAGTTGTTCTCAGGCAGGATTTGTTAAGCAGTTCTGACAGTCAGAAATCTAAGGAGGGACCAGTGACAGTTGTTAACAAACAAGAAAAGATAACTCTGGAAAAATCTTTAGATGAAACTAAAGGTAAGTTCAAATCTTATTTTATTTTATATTTTTATTTTATAATTTTTTAAAAAAAGGTGTCGCAGAAATTTATAAAATAAATTTTTATAATAACCTAAAAATATACCAATAATGGTGCTAAGCTTGATAAATGTGAATTTCCAGTGATTAAAACAACATCAAGCCAGCAGAACAGGTGGGAGGTAAACAAGAAAGAGGCAGCAGAAGTGACAAACAACAGCATTAAAAACCAGACCAAATCGCCACGAGACTCAGTTTTATTGAACAAGAGTAACGGCACCATCACAAACACAGAGAAAAAAGAAGGAACACCAGAAAAGTCCTCCTCACCCTGGGGTGTGCGTTTGAGAAAAGTCGAGAAAAAGGTGAGACAAATTGAGTGAAAGTTATCTTCTCTTGTTTAGTTCTTTGTTTACACTTAATGCTAACTAATCATAACACTAGCTGGGACGTAACAGATGTGTTAGAGTACTAGCTGAAACATGACACTAGCTGGGACTTGACATAAGTGTTAGAGTACTAGCTGAATCATGACACTAGCTGGGACTTAAGATAAGTGTTAGAATACTAGCTGAATCATGGCACTAGCTGGGATTTAACAGATGTGTTACACTACTAGCTGAATCATGGCACTAGTTAGGACTTAACAGATGTGTTACACTACTAGCTGAATCATGACACTAGTTAGGACTTAACAGATGTGTTAGAATACTAGCTGAATCATGACACTAGCTGGGATTAACCAGCAATGCAAACTGTATATTGACAACTGTTGTGCTGGGTATTGATATAAGCTGCATCAAAACTTATCATCACACTAATTAGCTCACGACGTTAACATGTCTTTTGGTGCGGTGCGAGCTATGTTATGATAACTATTATGGTGGGTATTGATATAAGGTGCATCAAAACTTTTATCATCACACTAGCTGGCTTGTGATGTTAGCTAAGACTTTGCATGTATTATGGTGCAAACCATGTTATGACAACTGTTACACCACTACTAGCTGGGTATTGACATAAGCTACATCAAAACTTTTAACCAATCAAAAAAATTTTTTATTGTATCGCAGGAGACAACACCTGAACCAGAGACTGTAAAATCAGAAAGCGTTGATGCCCCAGCTAACTGGAGACAGTCCCTGTCACAAAAACGTCGCAGTGTTGTCATCCCTAAAGGTGAGGCTAGGGTTCGGGTTAGGAGGGACTGTTGTAAATAGTTTGGCCATTATTATCTTAAAGTCATCACAGAAGATCCATCTCCTGCCTACACTTTATGACCATAGTTGAAGAACAACACATTTAATAACAGATTAAAAATCTTTTGAGATTTACATGTTTTACTTGTTTAAAAAACATGAATAATTGTCATTTATAAAAGAAACATCTTTTATATTGGGTAATAATACTGCATTTAAGTTTAAAAAGTTTACAATTTTTTTTAAGGAGCAGGCCTGTTTAGTTGTATATTTCTTGAAGTTCATTGTATTGGTTTCTGAAATTTATTTTAAAAAATAAGTAAAGAGATAGTCAAAGAAATCAGTTACCTATGTTCTAGTTGGATCACAGGCTAATTACTACTAATGAAGAAATCAGTTGCCTATGTTCTAGTTGGATCACAGGCTAATTACTAGTAATGATTGCTTTATAATCCTGACCACTGTCAGTTTATTCTTTATGGGAATGCACTTAATACAGGACAGCACTACAATGTACAAAATAATACTATATACTCAATAATAACAATATGCCTAAGTCAAGAAGCCTATGAACTTTACTTCATCTGCCCAATTGATCGCTAGGTTTAAAGAGGAATAAAACAAAAATAAAAGTTTAATACAAAAAGATAAAAGATACAAAATACAACAATACTCCAGCACACCACAACATGTCCTCTCTAGTGCGCGACCAACTGACACACACTAATACACACATGTCACTCGTTAACCATCTCCATGTGAACACCTATTGTCCTATTAGAAAATATACACAACACACAATCATGGGAGGCTAGATGTTAAGGCCAGAAGGACTTATTCATTAGTTGTTTTTTTTTACCAAATAATTCAACCTATGCATTTGAATGGTGCATACCATCAACCACATACATATTGACACTAATGTTTACTATCTTGGCTTGCAGCAGAAACAGAGAAACCAAAGCAAGATAACACACCAGAGTGGGCTAGAGCCTCTATCAACAGGAGACAGCGGTTACTAGGTTGGTGGGGGTTATTTTCTACCCAAATTTTATTTAATTTTTGGAATTTTTAATTATATCTTTTAATTGATTTTGATAGATATTTATTTTTTTTAAAATCGTTTATTTTTTATTATATCTTATAATTGATTTTGATACGTAATTCTTTCAAATCTTAATTATTGTCTGATTTTTGTTAATTTTTAAATTAATTAAATCTTTTGATATCTTAACATCTGTTTATTATTAAATGTATCTTTTGATTGGTTTATGATAGCTTGTTGCACAAGTAAATAAAATATGACATCACAGGCTCTAAACCTTTTGTGAAAAAAAAAATCTAATTCAAATTTAGTCGATTGCATTGCTATTTTAACCGTTTAAAAAACAATAGAACGCGATTATGATTCCAATTATATATGCCCTCCTTATTAGTAGTGGTTATTGACCGTTACCACCGTAAAATTTTTATTCCAACTTTTTATTTTTTTGTTAATCTCATATTGAGTTTAAAAGGTGAGTTTTGAAAAATTTACTTGAAATAGTAAAACATTGTGACTTACTTTGTTTTTAGTGGGATTATCTTCATTATTTATTAAACTTTCTAACTAGCATATTTATTTTAGTTTTATCCGTTTAGCAGACTGTGCAAAATGTCTCACAAACTAGGTACCTTATTAACCGTATCGATAACGCATTTTCATGTTCCTCAGTTTTATGGGAATTATGACACCAAATTTAATACATTTTTTTCTCAAAGAATTTTAAAAATTAAACTAGTAAATGAGTAGATTTAAAGATAATAAATTAACCTTTTGAAAATAGTAAAAATTGTATGAATTGAGCTAGTATAACGTGCTACTAATGTTTGAATTAGGCATTCTATAACTCAACACAAAATTGAAATTAAGTTATAAATAGAATGATTTAAAACTAAAAATAATGACACTAGCTTTGATTTGAGTAAGACTATTTGATTTTTAGTTTAATTTTTTAACTACAAAAATCAGCTTAGTCAAGCATTATAGTAGGGGCTTAAATCTAAAAATCGAGGAAAATGGTATCGCTAATGTTTTGTCACTATATCCGTTGGTATTGTGTTCAATGAAAATAAGAAAAAACATTCAGACTTTAGTGGGAGTCAGTACATTTTTATTGTTATTTTCAACAATGTTTTTACTTTCTTCTTCAGACGTTCACAAGCTGTAAAACCGACTTACAAAATAGACCCCATAGGCCTAAGTATTAGCGATATCGATACTACCTGTCCTCACTTTCATGTTCCGTTATATTTGCATTATATTATTAGGCCGTTAGATCTATTATAAAGTAAAATAAAGATGTATCTCAGCTGTCTTAAATATTATAAACCAAAGGTGGAAATTATTAATTGAACAGTGGTTGATTAAATTCACAAAGCAGACTATGCGGGATCCAAATCTTATTAATATAAGAAATATATTAGTTAAAAACACAACATTTTACTAGTGTGTTTATTCTATTGTAACAAGCTGAATGTGTACACTGATAGTCTTCATTTATTTCATATCCCATTAGTTTAACTTGCTAAAGAATAAAACATACCCTTGTAAAGAAAGGCCTATATTTATTTGCTTGGTACCCACTTACACTCAGATAACGATTGTATGAGGGGGGGGGGGGCCTTTCTTAGTTAAAGACCTTTGAGTCTGGTGTTAATTGAGTTGCTTTTGTTAAATTAGTGTGTTTGATCTTTTTGAATACTACATTTAAGAAGGAAGTTGAAAGTATGTAAAGTATGGTTGATAAGTTTGCTATGTAGTCTTGGGATACCTCTTGCTTTTCTAAACGTGGTACGGAATTGAATCTGCACTTCATCATCCACAAATAAAGTCATGCTTTTTTACACATAACCCCTTCTCACATTCATAGCTTATCCTTATTGTTGCCAGACATTTTTCCAGACCCTGTATCCCCAAGCTTTTGTTAAATGTTATCACAACTGGACAGTGTGGTCTAGTATGTAGTACGCCCGCTAACTAAACTGATAGTTCGGTTCGGTACCTGGCCCAGTGACGTAGGTCATCCCACGACCAAACTGTCCCTCACCTTCAAATCAAAGGTGGAAAGATGTCGTATTTATAACTGCAGGCAATAGTGGTGCAGAAACCCACATGTCTTGCGTCTGTCTTTGTAGCTGCGTGAAATGCTCGATTCTTGATAACGTTGCTGTTTGTTTCGCGCCAGCTATGTTCAGTTATCCAACAACACCAAAAAATTATCCCTTAACTGAAATGCTTCCAATAAGTCAAAAACACTCATATATGTTGCACTGTACTGATCTGTCTCTATGATACTGTTTACCTAGGAATTAGGAATGTTTATTTTTTTCACTCAGCCAGTTTCTTTTATTTTTACTATTACTATGAAATTTGAGCTAAATGATTTAATCAAGCCAGTGGTCTATTTTTATTTAAATAATTTTCAATAGACCACTTTGAAATTAAATAACTTATTAATATCTTGGTAGAGATATTCCATGCAGTTGTAAATGCATTGAAACGCAGTTATTTCCCATTCAACTTTTTTTCTATACTTTTTTACTCTAAAACCGTCATATCTAGATAACCTTTTATCCTATAAACATAAGTTTGGTATCATTTTGCAGCATTAACCCCCTTAATACAACCTTGACGTTATTTTGTCATTTTAATAGCTTAAAAAATTTCATGCAACTAGCTAATTTATATCTTTATTTTTAAATTTATCTTTTAATTGATTTTTTTCTGTTTATTATTACATAAATCTTTTAATTGATTTATGATATCTTAATTTTTAAACGTATCTTTAAATTGGCTTTTTTAAATTGTTTATTTTTAAACATATTTTTTAAATGGTTTCTATATGTTTATTTTAAAATATATTTTAAAATTCATTTTTTAAATATTAAAAAAAAAATATATCTCATTTATTCCTTTTGCTAGATGCTGGGATCATCAATGCTGAAGCTAAATAAGGGAAGTAACTAGAATAAATATCATGCTACTGACGCTAACTTGCAGTGAAGGATCCAGCCTTATACATTGTTATAATAACTTATCTTTAGATTTGCTAACTTATTTTTACTAAGGTAAAACCGATTAAGAATGTCTTTTATTCAACAAACAGTAACAGGTTGCTAAGATAAGAAGTGATTGACTAGTGATTGAGATCAGAAAGAGTGAAATCGCTGCTGTTGCGATGTTGTATTCATTTTAATTTATGTAAATCTACAAGTTTACCAAGGTTTATCTAGGAGGATTTTAGAACAGGGTTGTGTGTGTAGACAGTGTCATTAATTTGAGGCAACATTTTCATATAGTTATGTTGAAAACTGGGACCAATGTGGTTGATTAAATCTTTGTTATCTTTCTGCAAATAGGTACCCCAAATGTTTATTTAATGTTTTGGTGTCATGTTGAAAAATGTTAATCCAAACATATAAAATTTATTTTCAACAAAACCAGACCAAATTTGAGACCAAAAATGTTTCCTTTTTTTTTTCTACTTCATGCAAGAATTAACAGAAAATGTCTAGATCGAACACAGATTTCAGTATCTCTAAAAGAATTATTTTGGTGCCAATTAGGATAGGAGTACAGTTTCATCCCACAGAAATATTTTTATTTAAAGAATACTAGACGTTACTGTAAATTCCTGTTACATTGTAAAATAGTGTCTGAAAGCTAATCAATATGAAGTTTAAATAAACCATTAGTAAACCTATACAATTCAGTCCTCCATTCATTGAACTATTGTTGTTAAATGCTAAACGTAAGGGTTGTCATTTAGCCATACTTACATGACATGTTAAGGCTTTTATCTTACTTATATGTAGTCCAAGGTGTCATATTTATATGAACATACTGGCAATATTAGGACTGATGTTATATTAATTCTAGCGTAAAAACTGATGTCACATTTAGTCATATTGCATAGGCTCGTTTCAAATTTACATAACATCCTTGTCCTTTTTTACATTCAGATTAGTCTTTTGTAGTGAGTGATCTTGAAAAGCTGGATAAAATGTTTTGTCACAGGTGAAACTATTTTTAAAATTTAATTCCATTAGGGTTTATAATTTAATTGCTTGTGACAAAACTGTAATAATGTAGAAGTAGTTGTAAACTATATATTTTAAATACTTAATCAGTTCTTCCCATCCCCCTTTAAAAGTATCCTTAACCAATTAAGTAATGACCTGATGTGGAAAAAACTGATTTACATACATGTGTAAAGGTTGTTGTCAAGTTTACAATATGTTTACGACAAACGTCATAGTGTGGGAACTTATTTTGTGTATTTCTCTGTACTGTGTTTTTGAACTTGATTCCATCGGTATTACAAATTCCAAAGTTAAACCTTTGCTCACTCAGATTTCAGGTATTATGTAATGTTTGATGTTGATTTTATGTGAGACAATATTAGAAAAAAAAAAAGTTTTTATATGAAACTAGTGTGTGTTATTGCAATTTTTCTAAAACAGTTTTTTGAAACTTTTGCCCATACAATGTTATATTATTTTATTTTTTATTTTGTTTGATACTTTGATAAAAATAGGATTGATTGGAATATCATATCATTTTTGCTGCTTATTTTACATGAAACATATCTTTTTAAAAAAAATTTGGAAGATACATTTCATTAAAAGTTTACAGGGTGTAGCCTACTTATTCAGTTAGCTCCCATTTATTTACTGTTGTAACAGTTAATTCCCTTTTTAGGCATGTTATCTAACTTAAAAATATTTTTTTTTTTAACTATCAAAGATTTCCTTAGGATTATTTTTCTGCTTTAGACTGTAGCTTAGCAAATATGGCCACCATACTTACCACAAATGGTCTTTAAAATAAGGTGGTCACAATACTTCTTACAAATGACCTTTGAGGTTAGATGACCACTCTGCTTACCACATATGACCAATTGACTACCTTTACAAAATTGGCCATAAAACACAGCTTTATTTTTACAATTGAAGTGTGTTAAAACTAATATCCCTTTTTTCAAGCTTTCCAAAAAACTTATCGTATGTCATTCCTTAAAAGATTGAAGCTTGCTCAAAATTTTCTGGGAAATGTTTTTTGTAATTTCACTAAAGTGTTGGAACATTCTCCGTCCTTTTGACAGGTCTTGTGCTAAATAATGACCCCCACATTTGATGTAATGACCCCACATTTGATGTAATGAACCCTGGCATTTGATGTAATGACTTAGGCCTATGACGTTATGACCCCTTGCCTATAATTTTATAATGTAAAGATCCCTGGCATATCCTGTAATGTTTTGACCCCTGGCAATTGTTTTAATTGAATCAATGACCCCTGTTGCAGCTGACCCCTGTCCAATTCTATGGTTGTTCGATTTTTCCCATTCCCAATGTAATAATTTGTTACAACTTCAAGACACATAGTCTTAACTTGGTATTGATTTTACAATATTAAACTGATAAAATGTTTTAACTTTTTTTAGGGCAGGTTTCATTCCTCTATGTGTTAGTATTAGAAATGGTTCTGAGTGTGTTCATTTTTTCTTGTGTTACATATATTTGATTTCTGGGAGCTATTTACACTATTCCACTTGTATTACTCAAGTCTACTTGCATTGTATGTGTCCAGTCTCCAACATTGTGTTTGTAGCACACATTAACCAAATAGAAATACAGTTAGGAATAAAAATAATAAACATCTGTTAACCCGGTGCACAATGATGAAAATATGTGTTAGTTGTTGGTTGTTAGTCAGTTAACTAGGTAAGATTTTTCCAACTTGAGTACACTTTCACTAAAATTAGTCTAATTTTAAAATTTAAATTCTTAAACATGTTATATTACAAACGAAAACAATTTTGAAATATTACTTATTTTATTACCAGTAAAATTACAAAAACTCTTGTGTAAATATTTTAATTGACAAGTAGATTTTTGTGTTTTTTTTAACACGCTTTAAAACTATTTTGGCCAGCCTATAGACATTTTTTTTAGAATTTTTAACTATCATTATCATAAAATTAAACTCTCTGTGTTTTGAAGAACTTAAAATTACAATAAAAATACTGCTTATCTAGATAGACTATGTACCTTTAATAAACCAACTAAAGTAAAAAAAGCTCTCTACTTTATTGGTAAAAATCCCTCTCCCCCCTTGCTCACTTCAGTATGTATTGCTATTGTTAATAGATTTTATGTATATACTTTCTAGCTATTTATTTCATTGGTTGTTTCCCTTTGTGTCTGTGTGTGTAACAAATCTTTTGTTAAGAAATCCACATAACTATGATAAGACACTGATTTAACCTCTTTTGGCTATCTTTTTGGTGTATGGTTGTTATTCATGTGCAATTCATTAGAAAAAGGTAAAAAATATTTAATCTTTAACTGTTTTTTAACTTTCTTCTCTAAGATTTTTCTTGGTTGTTAAAAATTTTATAAGCTGTGCTAATTATATCTGGTAGTGAAGTTTAAAAGAGCCACCCAATTATCACAAAACTACAATACATTGAGAACCCAAACTATTTTTATGCCAGATTTTTTTTAACCACAGCAAACTGACCAAGTTTTAACATCTTGTGACCAATGTTTTTTTAAACAGTTATTTTAAAAATGTTTATTTTTATGTGGTTGTATTCATACATGTATAAATAGAACTAGTGGTGACTGTCGTTTTCGCCCCTTCTTCATAAATTCACAACTCATTAGAGATGTTTATTTTTATACTGTTGCATGGATTTTTTAAAACTTCTTGTTGCTGGAAAACACCTGTTCAAATGTATTTATAAAAAGCATAATTCATCATTATGCCTTAATTATTTTTGTATGTTTTGAATAGAATGGCAGATTAGTATTATTACACTGATTTGGGGGAGGGGGGGTTCCCAAAATAAGTGAAGGCTAAATTTCTGCTTTTTTTGTAACTATCAATATTCAACTTGTAGCTGTGAATGTTTTATTTCAATAGTAAATTGAGAATGTTTCCTATGACATTTTGTTAATTTGAAGTTTGTTTTTAAAATATGAGTGTTGTTGGTTTTTTTTTAAAGTATACAAACAGAATTTGTACCCTTGCTCATGTTATTTATTTCATTAATAGTTGAGCACATGTCTATAACTGAATGTGTGTTATGCTTGCCAAAAATTATGATAAGCACAGAAGTATTGTTTTTTTTTTTATTTTTAAGCTAACAATAATCATAGGAAATGTCAGGTACATTTGCTAAATTTTGTAGTTTTTAGTTGAGCATTTTTAGTTAAAACATTTTACTTCAAGAGATGGGAGGGGGGGGGGGGAGGGTTAAAGATGCTGGTTAAAGTATAGATTTTCTATTTAAACTATACATTTTTAAAAATATTTCATGATTGGGGGGGGGGGGGGATGTATGTTTAAGATTAAAATTATAAAATTAAATTTTTACTGATTTTGCTATACCGTGAATTAGTGGATTAAAGAATCTAGAGTTTTATTGTTACATTGAAAGGCTTGCATGTATGTGTTATAAATACCTGTGTGTTGCTTGTATACTGAATGTGGGTTGGCCTGACTAGACGATGTATTATAATTATTGTGAGTGCAAATTTTTTTTTACTAAGGCTATAATATAACTTAATTGTCATTCATCTGATGTAAGATTTTTTTTTTTTCATCATAATTTACGTTTTCAGATTTTACCTTTTTAAATGCTGCATGCATGTTTATGTAAAATGTAAATTAATATTGAGTTTCAATCCATTAATCTCCATGCCATTAATTCCATTTATTTTAAAATAATCATTCAGAGCTGCTGAATTTTATTTAATGTTTTTGTTAACATTATGGTGGGTTAGAGATTAACATTGTAGCCATGGTTATATTTAGCCTGATTTTACACAATTAACATATGAAAAACAAAGCAAGGTGTACAATATTTTAAATGCCGTCTGCTGCATTTTTTTTTTTTTTTTTAAAACTGCATTTGTTCTTTCATTTCATTATGTAATGGAGTACAAAAATAGCAATATCTCTAATTGTCAAACACGTAGATTTAGTTGTAGCATTATCTCTAGTATAGTGTTTTGTGGTTATTCTACAAACATAGACTGAAATATACATTAATGGTTTTTCTTTAAAATTTAAACCCAAATGTAGAATCTGTTTTATAGAATATTGCTTGTTTTTTTTTTAGAAAATAAAAAAAAAAAAGTAGTATATTAATGTTATAATTAAAGTTAGTTTTACTGACCTAAAAACAGTTTTTTACTCAGCTGTTTTTCTGTTATAAATATATACCAATATATACCATACATTTCTGATATAATTCCTAACCATTTCCATAAGTGGAAACAATTCTTGATGCCACTGTAAAGAATATCGAAAAGCCACATTTAATTTTTGTGTTGCAGCTAAGCAGTGAAATGGGCCTTGTTACATTTTTACTTTTATTTTAAAATGTATTTAATTTACTCTGAAATATACCAATGTGTATTTTTTGGACATTAAATTTTACTAAAATATTTTGCAAAGTTTCTTTTTTACATTTTAAGAATTAAAGTGAATTCTTTTTATATAGATCTATGTGATAATTTATGGAGCAGATAGTTTTTTTAGCCAAATAATGGCATTCAATTGTAATCTTCTCTGATTTAAAGACCAAATATGGTATGGCAGTTTTTTTAAATTGGAATAAAAATACATATCAATGTATCCTTTCCAAAAATACCACCAGACCACACATTTATCTCCCTTATAATAATACACAACAGATTTACTCCTACTAGCAATACATGCTTAACATATTTTAAAACAAAAACTAGCTCCATAGTTATAGCATATTTTATTTTTAAAAAAATATGTAAAGCAGTTTTTTTTTTTTTAAAACACTCAATTTGGGACACTGGCCATCTTGTCTAAATACCAAAATGGTCAATAGACTAGTACATTTGCAACAACTTTTAGAGACTTCTCATTGTCAGGTTTATTAAAATAACAATTACATCGAAATTAGGAAGATATAAATACATATTTACATATGTAATCTCATAAGCAGAATAATACAAAAAAAAAGCATGAAATATTGTGATGAATCTTAGTGATCAAGTTAGTGAATTTACTACTTCCATGATTTAGAAGTGTTTTTTCAGATATTTGCTCCATCACTTTAAACCGAGTAGTGATAGTTTCCTGTCATAACATAATCAAGCTAGAATGTTCACACATGAAGTAAAAGCATTTATTTTAATACTTGCACTTGTCATTTCAACAACAAAAAAAAAATCACAACTTTTTACATTGCTTGACCTTAACAAAACTTGTTATCAGACTTAAAAATTAAGTGGAAGAATGCTCTGGCAATGAGAAATTATTAAAGCATTTATCATACACAACAGTATAAAATCACCAAGTAACATTCATTTACAACAAAAAAACTTCATATATATTTTTCAGATATAGGCCTAGCTATTCTATTGATTTTTTATAATTAAAAGTACATGACTTAAAGGGTGCAAACTGTAGCCTATATTTTATTTGATGCAAAATTTTAAAAATCTAGCAACAACTTAAACACTTATCCCTTCAACTCATCAAATCATAGTTCACATTCCTAGAAATATAAAGACACTGTGAAGTCCGGGGCATTAAGTAGTGAAAAAATCATGCAAGTGAGTCACTGAAATCGTGGAGAAAAAATATCACAGTTTATCACAATGGCTGGAAATAGATGCCCATTATTTATGCTAAAAATAGCCCTGTATTAACCTATCATTTCAATCAGAAAAATGTAAATTTTATCCTACTGAATCAATCCTAAAAATAGCCTGGTATTGACTTAGCGTTGCAGTAGTAGAACAAATATAATTACAAGAAGAAACATCTGTTGTCAAAAAATTTCAGCATTGTTAATCTTGAAAATTAATAGGTACATGGTCACAGAAACATACAGAGTAGTATAAAAAAAGTCTACAAGCACTTGTTTATCTAGAAAAGGAATGATTTCCAATGTTAAACCTTTTCATTAATTTGGTTGATTGTTAAAGTTAGCTACAGTAAAATGTAAATGGTACATTTTCAGTTTGAAAAATTAGCTTAAATATTGAATTATTTCCATATTTTTAAAAACCTTAATGAAATAATAAGTATCTTTTTCTAAAATAAATAAAAAAATGAATTGATGATCAATTCAAATGCATAGCTATAAAAAAAAATAGTAACCCTGCTCAAAACCTACTTGATCTTAAAAAATTATGACTACACATTCTTTTGCACTTTAATTAGTATTCTTTCAGACTTATTTAGAAATACATGAAACAAATTTTCCACTGCAGGCTTTGATCCAAATTTTGAAATATTTGACAATACAAATCCTTTTATTTAAACTTTGGTTGAAGACTTTGTAAAGCTTTCTGAGGGATAAAGAGCAGATCTAGATCTAGCACCAACTTCAAAAGTGATGTTGCTTTCTGGACGCGTTATGAAGGAGACGTTGAAATCTATATTATTGTTCACTAGAACCTGCTTCAATTCATTATTCTCCTCTTCTAGATTTGCGGTATACTCTTTAAACTTCAACAGCTCTGCCTCGCACATTTCCAGCATCTTGTGCTGGAGTTCAAGCTTCTTCTCCATCTGCAGTTGCAACGCATGTATAATACCTGAAAATAGTGAGCACAGTTTCACTAGGCATCTTGAGTTTGAGGTACTTGTTTGGAATACTTTAATGGTAAATGTTAATTACAAAAAAGACACTTAGCACGTTGAAGTAAAGTAAAGTTTCCCTTTCAAACCTGACGGTCTATGGGGCAAGTGAAGTAGAGTTCACTTGTTTCTGTGACCTCGGCATATGAAGAGATAGTGTGATCAGCACTATGCCCAGCCACCTTTACTTTCCCTAACGTGAGTTGGGTACCCATCAGAGTTGGGTGGACTCAGGGACGGTTACCTAACTTGAACCCGGATTCGAACTCGAGACTTATGAGTTAGCAGTCCAGCTCTCTACCGCTAGACCACTCCGTCCCGTTAGCACGTTGAAACACATCATAAATTATTTTAAAATTAATTCCTGTTTAGCATACATGTTTTTAACAAAAAGACATTTGTTCTTCATAATGTTGGACAGGATTTCCTCCAACACAATTAAGTATTATGTGTCATATTATGTGCCGTATGACCCATTGACTCAGATTTCAGCCTGCTCTTCTTTCTGGATGCTTCCATCAAAGAACAAGGCAGGAGTTTTTTGATTTTGGAGTTGTCTCTCCTGGATTAGTTGTCGTAACCAGCTAATGGGCCTTATTGACCTGGGGTTTGAACTTGGGACTTATGGAGGAAACAATTACACCTTGTGCTACCAGAGCATGCCATTTGGTTATTGATTAGACTCAGAGCTACATATGTGAAAACATTTCATTTTAAAATGTAGCCTGACAAGGTACCATGGGGTGGATTTGTGACATACTGACTGAATCCTGGGAACCAATCTTGTGATGGTCAGCCTGAACAAACCAACCAGAAATTAGATGATCAGTCAGGGTCCACTAGGAGTCCTATGTAATACTAAATTTTAACAGCCGAGAGTTAATGGAGAATATGATATCTATCATGTCCAGTGTTGCTTTCAGACTTTTTTCTCACAGAGGGGGAGGGGTGGTAGACTTTCTTCTGAGGGGGGGAGGGGTGTTTGTGATGCCTGGAAGAAACTCTGATCGTGTCAGTTGCGGGTTTGGAACCCATGTGGTCATATTTTATGTTTTTTCTTTTTTTTCTTATCAACGTTCTCTCAATCCCTCTAGCTCAGGGGTCTCCAAACTTTTCAGTCCGAGGGCCGCATTAACTATCAAATTTCAGTTTGGGGGCCAGTTTCTCACAGGCATGTCTTTGATTTTTCTGGGCAAAGTTCCTCAGCCATAACCAAGAAACGATTTTTCCTTGGACAAAAAGATCTCCGCGGGCCGGATGAGAGGACTTCGAGGGTCGCATCCAGCCCGCGGGCAGTAGTTTGGAGACCCTTGCTCTAGCTGATACCCTGTGGGAAAACCAGAGTTACGTTATCCTAATTTGCATGGGGAATAAAGATACACTACCACAACAATCCATAGTATTTAAAAATATTACCATTAATTATACGAGCCACTCTCCATAATCTAAGAGATATCAGCAGGCCACTGCCAATAGATGCACCATGGCTGTTCACCAATGCTAAGTCCATGGTTATTGAGATCAAAACGATGGCAGAGTCTAGCACTTCCATTTTGTTTTTAAAGAATCCCCACCCCATCACATACAGGCGCAGAATAATTTCAACTGTAAAAACGCACAGGATAAATAAACCGCTGGTGTGCAGAATCTGGAGATTTTATATTTAAATTTATTAACATACTCTTTATTTTAACTGTCTTATGATATTTTTTAAATAAAAATACTGTGTTTCCTTCTTTCTTCTGCATTCTCAATTTTTAGTGTTGGAAGAGATTGCTTGAAGAAATTCCCTCCAACACAATTAAGTATATGTGTCAACTTGTTATGCGTCATATTGGCTGTTGACTCCGATTTCAGCCTGCTTTTCTTTTTGGATTTGCTTCCATAGTTTTTGTCCAACCAAGAACAAACTACAAGGTAGCAGTTGTTTGATTTTGGAGTTGTCTCTCCTAGAAGACTTGCTGTCCCCAGCTGTCGACCCTCATCTGCCCCTAGGGTTCCAGAGTTTTTGGTTGAGCAACTATGAGCTTTATCGATTCTACCACATCGACCCCATATTGTGTTTACAAAACATTAAAATTTGTAATGAAAAACTTTTGTCGTTGTATTAGGAGTGTATGCATAATTCAACCAACTTAAACTAATAACTGTTTCATTTTTAATCTATTTATTTTGGTAGTCATATATGAGTTCATAATATTGTTTTTTAATGCAGTTTAGTAAAACATATAAAACTCCTTTGAATTTAACCACCTACCGCATGGATAGAGTGAAATTCATCTGGTATGTATATAACTTCAATGTCAATCAATAGCTCTACTATCACCAACACACAATCCACTACAACAAGCAAAATTATGCATACCTGTTAGTAACCAAAGCAAATGAGTGTTTCTTTATTTTAATTTTTTCTGTGCATGAAATAACATTTAAATAACATTTTAAAATATTAATATGAATGAATACTAAGTATCTATATATAAAATTCTCTATGTGGGACCAGATGGTACACCACCGCCACATACACATGCCGAACCCGCCACCACCTTGGCTCTCCAGGCATGGGCATCATACCATATGGCTACCACCCCCACCCCCAACAGTTTGGTGAGCTGTGGTTCACAATGAATCTTTACAACCTTAGAGCAGAGTCAAATTAGTGACTGCTATTAAGGGGCAGATAATTTGGTTTTTAAATTATTTGAAACTAAAGGGAGGTAACAAGTTCTGCTTAATCGTTTCTTGTCGTCTGTAAACTGTCATCATGGATGGCTACTTTCATCGAGGGGTGGGATGGGGTGGGGGGGGGAGGGAGGAATGGGAAAATGTGGGTAGTGTCGAATTCAAATAATGAATAACTAAAAAGTAGAAAATAAAACAACTAAATAGCCATCCATGATACGACGCTAGTCAGCTCGTTAAAGTTATTTTATTTACCAAAAAAAAGGTAGCGTGCAATTTCAATAAACATTAGTGGGCTTATTGTATCCGGCCCATAAAAGCCACATACCATAAACCAATTAGATTCCATTGTATCACGTAGCTTCTCCTTGCAGGTTTTGGGAGCTGCTTTATCCAAGTCAAATGTGGCCACAAACTCAATGTCATTTGGGTTAGCTGCCTCTGCTTGTGCCATTCTCCAGCTTACAGCTAATGGGGGAGTGGAAAAGGGGGAAAAATCTACCTAAAACAAAAATATTTAAGGGCCTATATATCTATTTATTAAACTCTCTTTCGTTCTCTCATATATTTACATATATATATATATATATATATATATATATATATATATATATATA